AGAACAGGCCAAGTGCTTCCAAGAAGCCAACCAGCAGATTACAGAGGTCAATTTAAAACATGCATATATAGTAACTGCCAAGAATGTAATAGATAGAAAGAATTTAGCTAATAGTTAAGTTTGGTTTCCGGTTTACTGCACTTAATATGTTGAAAATATCTTTAATCGACCAAAATAACCGAATTCCTAAACTTAGTAACCAAAAATTCAAAATCCAATATTGCATATCTAGTTATATATTAGCAAGTCAACTAATAAGCAAACAGAACAGGCCAATTACTTACAAGAAGCCGACCAGCAGATTTCAGAGGTCAATATAAAACATGCATTTATAGTAACTGCCCAGACTATAATAGATAGAAATAGTATAGCGAATAGTTAAGTTTGGTTTTCAGCTTACCACACTTAAGATGCTGAAAATATATTTAATCGATCAAAACAACCGAATTCTTAAACTTAGTAACTAAAACTCCAAAATCATCACAAAATGAGTCAGCTCATTTTAATCATCCCATTCCTACATGAGAATTCCGATAATATTAGTCTAATTTTATTAGCAAATTCTATTGGCAACATCTTTCTACTACGTCCTTAATGTAAAAGCCTTTTAGAAAATTGCCTTAGATATCAATATCATCCCATCACCGCTCTACCTAAAGGAATGAATTTTACAAATTACATTTTAAGACTCATAATCAGATTAGGAAGAAACCATTACATTTGGGGGGTTCTCCTGTATTACGATAATAGACATCTCATTACCTCGGAAGAGGTCTTCCCGGTAACAAACCCCTTCCATAGCCCTGTCGGTCTACACAAAAGCCTCTCTTGTCTATGGCAATTTCCACACAAGAGGGTGGATGTATTGAATCCATCCCCGCAATACAATGGGGATATAGTAAACCCCCCCTTTTAAAGGGGGTGATGTAGAATTGTATATGACTAATCGTTGATGAGTGAGTGAATTGATGTAAATGTTGCCAATTCATCGATCAATAGGATGGGAGGAAGGACTAAAAGAAAATCATAGGTTTGTTTAAGGATATGTCTAATTGAAACACTATCAATGCGACAATTTGCTGTTCCGATTGTATTGCATACCTAGTTTAAACGGGTGTTTAAATTGTAAATGTAAGCATTGCAATTTGAAAATGCTTCTAGTTATTAACTTACTTACAAAATGAATTGTATTAGTACTAATAATAGTAACTATCATCAAATAATTAACTAAGGTAAAACTATTTCTCGTTAGAAATTTTGTGGCACATAAACGCAGAGTATCGTGAAAATTTTCAGCAACATACTGTACTCTTTTAAAACTGTGGTGTAACAACTCTCCGAATTCTAGTACCGAATCAAGCGTTCGTGTTACACTTCAAAGTATGTATTTAAATTTAAACATCAATAAAAGAGAATGCTTATGCCAAACTCACACATATTTAAACTATTCAGGGCATGGTCGTTACCATATATGGATTTCAAAAGTGGTTTAGAAATCCATATATGGTAACGTCTACCACCGAGCACGAGAAGGTGTAAGTTTGTTGTCATCTCGCATTGTTGCTAAATTTTCCACAGAAATAGAAGTTTACTCTTACAAAAGTATATTTAAATAGTTAGTTGTGTATTGTAAAGATAATTATGTTCTCGTAAACAGGTTTACAATAATATTTGTAATTTTATTAAATAATAATGTCAATCATATTAAATAATTTGAAAATATTTCGCTTGTTTCATTAAGCCTAATTCGAAAGAAGGCAGTTGTACCATTTTTGGTGTTAGGATATACTAAATCTTTTGGCAGTAAGCAAAATCAAACCACATTATGGAGGAATTAAAACCATTTTGAACTTGACTACTTGATACTATGTTCCAAATTGAACGGAAACATACATCAATTTAGCATATAATTAAGGTTACAGCAAATTTGCATTAATAAGTTGGTCAAGACATCAGTTGGTCAAGACATCAATAAGTTGGTCTAATTTTTTCTGTAAGTAACGATTTACCAATCGATTTTTCATTTGAATCAACTGAAAAATTAAAAATAAATAACATAAAATCACTTTTTAAAAAAGTGATCTATATGACATTGTCTGAAACTTTACCTATTGTATGAAAAGATCAGAGAATTCTAAACTGAACTACATTTATTTCATAATTTTAATGCAATCAAGTAAGTGAAGGGGCTTACAAAGAAAATGAAGAATCCCCGCAATTTCTGGAATCTCAACGTAGAAAGTTTCCCTAAGCTTTTAATTCCTTCGAACCCCCACGAATAACATAAATTCCAAACTATGAGATAATATAATTAAAATATTCCATTTTGGCCTGCCATTTACAACTCATGATCACTTTCAGTAAAAATTCGCAAAAGCAAAGTTAATAATGGTTAAATAATTAATATCACAAAGGCATATTGTAATGCAAATCTTGGTTCATATAATCATTAGTTCAAAACAATCAATTGTTATATTTGAATTTCAAAGCAACGCCCAACAATTGATTTCACAAACTCAATTATCATACTTACAAATATAGTTAACTTTTGGAAGGGAAAAAAAAGTTACAAATTAGGGATCTTTATAGATTAGATTTATAATTCCAATCTTCACTTAGCTGCTTAATTTAATTAAATCTCACTAACTGCATGAAGGGGGGAAGGTAGAGCAATGTTTGGGAGGGAAGAGTTCATATCGAAAGATTTAATCAAATGGAAGATTATTTCGGACCCATTTAGCAGAGCCCATTACAGTTAAAGAGCCGCATCCTATTCGCTAAGAGGAAAATAAATTTCTCTCTCTCCTTAGAAAGTTGAAAAATAAAGAAATTCTTGAAAATTTAAAGGCACTTCTTATTCAACGTCATAAAATTCGTACTCCTCAGTCAACGGTACGATCTAAAGCAAATGGCGTAAATCTACGGCGCATAATAAAGGAGAGATAATAATAGGGATTCTAGACAACACGAATTCGCAATTAGCATCGGCTTTAATGCGAACCATTTGTCTTTAGTGGTAGTACTGCTGTTGCATAATTTATGAGGCAGAGCTCGCCCCCTCTAGCGTTTAATGTCAGAAACTCAATGAAGGGTTTATGATATCGTTTGGAGGGCGGGAGAATATTTTCCTGAATATTAAAAATTATTATAGCGCGAGAAATAAATTTTATGACTCGAATCGTTAAAATCGTATCTACTCAAACTAATTACCTATTAAAAGCGATAATAACAATAACAATAATAGATTTCTCAGACTGTGTGAAAAAGCTGGAAATTTTAAAAATTTCTTACTTCGATTGTTTCCGAAAATGGCGAAATATTACGGATAAATTATATCTAAGTTTTTATTTACTGCTCTTTGCATATTATCGAATGGATTAATGGGCTTCCAAAAGTTGTTTTATTATACGGGTGGCCATTCAAAATTAATTATTTGGAAAAAGGATTTTGTTGTTTCGCAGTTTTATGATGCTGGAATTTTTAAAAGGAAATAAGTGCTTTTTTGTTACAGAGTACTGAATAATATTGTATTGTTGAATGAAAGAAAAGTTTCTCAAGAAGTCGATACACTTCAAATCTCGGAGAATGATGATTGTTTGTTTTATATTAAAACTTTAACAGTAGCAACACAAACTTTAAGTTTTTAAATTATTAGTATAACTTAAAAATTTAAACTAAGATGGATTATTTTAAGAAAAACACTATGCAGACTAAAAAGAAGAAAATAGTTCTAATTACGGTACATCTAAAGCAAAAAGAAAAATGGCGTATCATTCTTGAAAAAGTCAAGAAAATTTTCGGCGTTAATAGAAGTTTCTTGCAAAAGGGTTTAACACTATAAAAACTTCCGAATCAAACTACGGTAAAAAGTACCAGCACTCAGAGTACCGGTACTTTTTACTTCGAAATCCATTTTTATGAAGCATGTTACGGAACAGAAAATCTGATATACAGTAATTTTTACAATAATAATTACCGTAAAATCAATGTATCTCTCCAATTAAATAAAGATTACTGTAAAAATTACAGTACAATATTTTACGGTAAAAATGAATTTTGGGGTTGATGTAATGCTGGTACTTAATACCCTACTTTGATCTGGAGGTTTTTACAGTGTATGTATGCTCTTCGTATTCCATTTCGGGGGAGATGAAAAAAAAAAAAAGTTAAAACTTAAAAAACGTAGTTTTCAAAATTTTTATTTTATAATTTTACTTGTTTAGTTTGGTGTTTGTTATTTTATTTATGACGTAAAAATTTTGATAGTGGTAAAATCGTGATAATTTTGCTTAAAACATTTAAGAAGTTGCACACTTGAATACAACTACGGAAAAATCAAATACAGAGTTCTTGTTGGAATTTGAGCACTCTAGCTATCTAGCAGAAGTGAGTTATTAAATATGTAGTAAAAATTGTCGTTTGTAAATAATAAGGATATGCAAAAAAAAATTCTTAAGTAAGAATTGAAAATATTGATATTAATTAAATACGAAAAAGATATTTCTTATTAAAAAAGAACAAATAAAAAAAAATATTTTTCATAGGTTATATTTTGTCGAAAAGAATTCCTACTAACGGTATTCTCTAGTGAGCAACTTGTTGCGTTCGTAAACGATGTCAAATAACATATATACCTCTCACAAACTTGATCGCCACCCATTCATACGATTTTCTTCTTTACGTCCGTTTCATTTTTTTCTTCTTTTCTCTAACCCTCAGGGTGTCTTTACTTTCATCCATTTAATAGGTGAACAACTTGCATTCGCGTGTCAAAATTCATCCGCGGGGAAAAAATAGACCATATGAACGAAAAAAAAAAGAAAGCTATCGATTTTTTCTCGTTTTCTTTTTTTTGTATCCGTGTAAGTAGCGGAGAATATTCACACAATCGGAAGAAAAAAAGTATTCCGGAAAGGATTCTGGAAATTGTACATAAAATTTTTCATGAAGCAGAAAAGAAGTAAATAAAATTAACCAAGTGAAAAATTGAAATGACTTACTTGGTCGACAGACATGAAGCCACACTGATCTCTTAATACTTGCTTCTTTATTAGTCTACGATAAACTCAAATAAAAATGGAGGTACAATAAAATCTGAAAGAAATAAATGAAATTAGTTTTATTTTGTTATTAGATTTTCATATTTATGCTTTATAATGATAATAAATAGTTACTTATGCAAATGAAATCATTTTATTAATGTATATGAATTAATGAATGGCATGAAGCCAGAGTTCCAAAAAAAAAGTAAGTAACAAATCTATGTATCTGATTGTAATTCCATAAACAATTATTTTAGTAATAATGCTTTAAAATAATAATTTATAATAAATAATTTATTTAATAGATAGGAACATAACAAATAAAATGCATTAAAAGTAGAGCAGGGTGATACATCGTGAAATATCGATATTATTTAAACACTATAATAATGGTATATTAAATAAAAATTCTTATGATATATCGTTGAAACCTTGCCTTGCAATAAGTATTGAAAATGTGATGATAATGTTGCAATCATCATTGACAATAGTAAATATTGTATCGCAAGCATTATCTATAACATTAATTATTGAATACGATAACATTACTAAATTTTAGTTGGGAAAAGAAAATAATGGTCAATGTAAATGACCATTATTTTATTAGTAAATTATTAGTCAGTAAATTTGCAGTTTATGTAAGTATAAAGCAAATCAACTAACATGAATTATCGATATTACATGATAATATATCGTGATATGAAAAATCCGATATCTCTCCGAAGCAAAAGAAAACAATGAGCAATGGCATAAAACAAAACAAAAGCGGTATCGAAATATATCGAATCACTAATGACGAAGTCAGGATGAAAATCATAATAATTAATATGATTGTCCGATGAAACTTGTAGATTGTTCTAATGTTCACCTTTATACTCCCCCTTGTTTCCTCAGGCCATCAAACAGGTTTTGATGTTTCATTTTAAAATATTATTTCGCTACCCCTAATAAGTATACTTTTTCGACAGTATAAATTTAGGGTGGATGTTTACTAGAAAACCCTATATCTATGAATTTATNTAACTAAATTTAAATTCTCTATCACTTTAATTATTTCTTATTTCCAAAACAACATCAGTTTCAGTCATGTACATTAGGCTCAAATTAAATTTATATTCAATTATAAATGTTTTAAATTTAAATTATAAAATTTTATTTTTATAGTACTTTTCCTTATCTTCCATATCAAACATTAATTTCAATAATGAAATTAAAAATAAAACTCTGAAAAGCATTTTAATTTTAAAAATTTTATAAAAATGAAATTTTTCATTTTAAGATTTATTCAGAAAGAAGACGCAATAGCATTTAAAAGAATAAATGCAACTAGCTAAATTTAATTATGAGTTTTATGAATTGGGGAAAAAATATAAAATGAGAATCTTTTTAAACATGATTTTTAATGACGTGTCTCTATCTTCTCTATTACTCAAAACTGAATTCAGTAAAATAATTTTTCGAAATAAATTAAAAAGATAGCTTTATTTTAATTAAATAAAATTTTTTAAACATGATGTAACTTGCTATAATTTGAAACTCGACTCCATTAATTTAATCGGAAATATAATTTTCTTCATTAATTCTTTCTACATTAGTTATCGAAAAACGATAGATGTTAAGCTTATAAGTCATTTCAAACGAATCGATTTTCCATAAAATGCTATCGATTTTCGCTTCTCGAAAATAATCTAATCAAAGGTAAATAAAAGTATGTAAGAGACAGTTTAAGTCTCTATTGATACCCTATTATTTTAGAAGAAAAGTAAAAGCGGTATCTCATTAAAAAAGTAGTTTGCTTTGAAAATTGCTTTTACCTTCTTAGATATTTAAATATATTAAGTTCCGTCAAAAACTTAATCAATATTGAATTGTAATTGCGGACGAGAATAACGTTTTTAAGTCGAATTAAATAGAATAAACTTCGGTATAAAATAATTCCAAGCATTGACGCAGTCAGGAGGGATTATTTTAACAATTTAATTTCTTTAATTACTCGCGATTTATGAACTCGACCGATGATTTATGAATTCTTGTGACGATTTATGAATTCTTATGGTGTTACAAAACAACGTATGAATGAGAAATATATTACTAAGCATGACAGTGTTGATTCTTGGGATGAGGCAGGTGTAAGGTTGATACTTGGATGTGAGGAAAGATATAAAGGGGATTCTTTATTATAAAACAGAACACGTAGGGTTACAAAATAATGTATCGAAATACATAAAATATCAGAGTGTTAATTCTTGAGCATGAGACAGGTATAAGGTTGATTCTTGGATATGAGGAAAGATATAAAGGGGATTCTTTATTATAGAACAGAACTCTTATAGGGTTATAAAATAATATATCGAAGTACATAAAATATCAGAGTGTTGATTCTTGAGCATGAGACAGGTGTAAGACTGATTCTTGGATATGAGGAAAGATATAAAGGGGATTCTTTATTATAGAACAGAACTCTTATAAGGTTACAGAATAATGTACCGAAATACATAAAATATCAGGGTGTTGATTCTTGAGCATGAGACAGGTGTAAGACTGATTCTTCGATATGAGGAAAGATATAAAGGGGATTCTTTATTATAGAACAGAACTCTTATAGGGTTACAGAATAATACATCGAAATACACAATTAAATATCATAATGTTGATTATTGAGTATGAGATAGATGTAAGACTGATTTTTGGAGATGAGGAAATATATAAGGATCATTCTTATCTTATAGGGCTGCAAAACAACGAATTATTGGGAAATGTATTAGTAAATGTTGCTGCGTTGGTTCTTGGGGATGAGATAGGTATAATTATTATTTGGTATGCGGCAGGTGTGAGACTGATTCTGGATATAAAAAATGATATGAGCGTGAGTCTTTATTATAAAATGTTTTGATACTGGGATATGATGCATGATAAAAAATTGATTCTTGTCACGGGGCAAGATATAAAAGTTATTATTTGTTCTTATAGAATTACATTCTTATATTGCATCCCAATGAGTTGATTGAATAACATGTGATTTGGTATCATAGTGTTGACCTTTGGCTAAAAGGCAAAATATAAGATTGATTCTTGGATATGAGGCACGATATGAAGGTGATTCTTTATTCTTATTGCATAGAGTTCTTATAAATTTACAAAACAACGTACGATTGAGAAATATGTAATGATTAAGTATACTTGTTTTGATTCTTGGATATGATGCACGATGTAAGAGAGATTTTTTATACGAGGCAAGGTATAAAGGTTATGATTGGCTATTATAGAAGTAAACTATCATAGTGTTACAATACAAAGTTATAGTGATAAATTTATGATGAATCAGTCATGTAGACTTTTGGGAATGGATTGCCAGGATATAAGATTGATTCTTGGATAAGTTGGCATCGAATGAATATCCGTTTTGTTTGTGATGGACACATTTCTGTATTTGAAGTTCACTTTTGAAAGTAAGGAAATTGAAATACAGGGTTGATTATGACAAAGTTGATTCTTAGATATGAGGTATTTTAATTATGAAAAAGGCAAATGAATTCTCTAAAACATTAACACAAAATCTTTCGAATTGTCACGAGATCAGAAAGAAATTGCAAATATCACTGTCAAAATGTTACTCTAAAATGGCCGCAGTTGAAACAAAACGTGTAATCTAAGATAAAAAAGAAAGTATGTTTGTGAGTCATTTTATATCATCATCAAGCAAGGAATAATGTTATAACAACACATCATTCAAAAATTATGCTAAACTGTAACCATTAACGTTCTTTTTATTCGTTCATTTCTACACTTTAACAATCACTCATCCTTCTGCAAGAGCTTGTTATTGCAAACATAAAATAGAGAAAACTGCTCAATAATTTTTCTCCTGAAAACAAGTCCTAACTTTTAAATTATTGATTTATTTCCATCATCGGAGAGAATTTATCAGCTTCAACAGTTAATGATGCTTACACTAAACCATCTCAATAGTGCCTCCACCCCCCATAAATGACCAATAAAATTCTTATCACCACTCGCTTTCTACTGGGTCTTAAAACATGTAAGTGCCCTCCAAATGCTGTAACCGTTGAGAAAAATAATGATTGTCCATTAAAGTTGGAAAACATCGTGTTACTGCCCTCGGACGAAAATATAGTCACAAAAGATATATGACGTTTTATGGGAAGATAGAGAAAATGATACGTGAAATTGTTTTAGTTTTGTTCATTTTTCTGGGTCATTTTTCCATTTTTATTTGAAGAAAGTGGGGAGGATAATGGAGTTTTCACAGTAATTAGAAGACATTTATGTCTCTGTCTATAAAAGATGATGATGGACTCCTTTTTTTCGAATGTGTTTTGGGGGTACAAGGCGAATCTGGAAATCTCCAAGGCAAAAACGAGTTAATTTTGGTTAACGTTAAATTATCTCAATCAGTTACAATGTTCGCTCATTGTTATTCAAAGCTATGCAGACGTAGCGTATTTTGTGCATAAATTAAGTACACTGTTAGACATTATGATGCGTATTGTATAAAAATGTTGAAATGTATCGTATCGTTCAAATTCGCAGCAACCTTAGTACAGTGTTAAGTTAGACCGCATTACCACACTTCTTAAACTTGATTACACGATACTATATGTTCAGTTTGAACGTCATAATCACCCAACCATGACCAAGCACCTAGCCCCACTTTCAGAGCTCGATTTTTTAATGGTTATGTAAGGAATGCCAAGTAATTTTAATCCTGGTCGACGACGTAAGCAGTGCCTGAGCAGGTACACGCCTCTCTCCAAACTCCCACACCACAACTAAAGAGAGTACTTTCAGCTACGACAGCATGTACTTTGCTGCGTATATAAGCTGGTTGTGGGCAGCTAGGATCGAACTCACAATCCTCGGATCTACAACCAGCGGCGCGAGTAATGTCTCAGCCGACTGCGCAATTTGAACAAAAATATCGTTCAATTTAATATCTTATTAAGGTTGCAGCAAATTTCCACTTATTGTAGTTCAACGTACCGATATTATGGTACAGCATTAAATCGAATTTACTGCGGGTCTACTTTTTGC